AATAAATTTGATGGAAATCTAAACTTGTAGAAAGAATTCCCATTTTATTTTACGTAAGTGAGAAAATAAATAAAAGTATTTAACGGATTTGGACACATATATTTACAAATACTTATGAACCAGAAATATTGCCAGATATTTGCGACAAAGATCTTGCGATTGAATTTGATTAATAATACGGCAAAGATGAAATTGATTTGATCATTCAATATTTATATTTATAAATTTTTATTTAGCAATTAATGTAGAAAGAAGCTAATGAAAGAAATAGAAATGTGACTGGAATAAATCATTTTAATAATAACTTATTTCAATGTACATTACCAGGTAAAAAATTGAAATTTGTTGTCAGGCTTGGATGAAATAATAACACGTGACTTTTAACTTTATCAAATTGATATAACAGTGCACCATACGGTATCATATTTGACAGATAATGCACGTATTTAATGATTACGTACTTTCGATGAATTGTGTATGTCACTTCATGTTTGCATTTCATTTCCACACAAGATAACAATTGAATGGAAACCACGAACAAAGGCCACCGTTGCACGTATCTTAAATGCAACACAGACCCTTATTCAAGGTTTCCGTTCAATTGTAAAAAATCTCCTAGTCCGAAGAACACTTTCTTTATCCCAACTCTTCGTTATTATGGAGAGTATATTTGAAGCACATGCCATCATTCCTGGAATGACCGCATTCGTGTTTCAAAAGGGAAACGATTATCCTTCGTAGAAAGAGGCCCCGGCCTTACGATCGACTAACGACGACGCAACAATATCTTCCAATCTAGCGTAGAATTTCAGTTATTTTATGGGATACGTCGCTCGCGGTTCGGATTTCGCGCTATTTATACTAGCCGCGTATAGATTATAACTCAGCCGATTATAGCAACTAACAATCGCCTTCGCGCGTCACGGTTGAAATAGTCCGAGACCTTATAATGAATTTACTACATTCTTCGTGAAGCTCCACGACCTATAAAAGTTCGGAAGAGCTAGGCTCGCGCTGGCTCGCGGATACCTCCATTCGTACGCCAACATTTCTTTCTTCCTTTGCTTATTACGTCGCTTTACCTTCGTCCTGCATCGCGAAAAAAAGATTCCGTCCATCTCGAGACATAAAAACGCGGATTATTTGCTCTTATGATCGTGGCGGACCATAATCCAGACAGCCACGAGGTACCAGAAAGAAGCGTTAGTCAAACAACGTTACACGAGCGTCAGAGGTTCTCATTACGATCGGGGATACCAGAAAAATTGATCGACGATTCCTGCGGGACGCAAAAGCGAGTTTATCGTCCCTACTAACTATCGATTCTATAGAGTGCTCATGAGACACCCACGAGAGCAAAGATATCCGCGCATCTTTTGAGCGCGGCAGCTGGGTAGCCGAGTACCTCATAAATTAGATCTTATAACTGGCTACAAGAGCTATTATTAATTTAACACCAATCATTAATTTCTTTCAATTATAATTAAGGTCCTTCGAATATAACCAAATGTACCGAACCTAAGCTTTGATCTATACACGTTGGATATATTCACTGTATGTCTCTATAGTAGAAATTATAATATTTTATGATTATAATATTGATTATTATAATACATATAACATGATATATATTAATTATGATTATAATATTAGATTCTTCGTTATCTTAGATTACAATACCGATTAATGTAAATGATTAAAAGATTGGAGGACATCACTCTGATATTCAGAAGTACACGAAACAGGCTGCAAATGAGAACATTTTCAGCAGTTGAATTCTTTTATTTACTAAAAATTGTTGTATCATACTCCGATATAATATTTACATTGCCAAATTTGTTTATATGTTAAAAACTGTTAAAAACGTGTCTGTTGTATGAGTCGTAAGACTGAATCACGTGTACATACAATGCACTTAAGTAATATACTCGTAAAACGGAAATATTGTAATCCAAAAAAACCATTCTGGATTCAGGATCAAAATGGCTTCTAGTGCAAAGAGTTAATAAGAAATTAATACTACTAAACTATCGCGCGAGATATCCAAGTATATAATCGGATAATTTTCATTTATTCAAGTATCATATGGGCGACTCGAATATCCAGGTATCTCATAAGTAGACTGCGAATTTTATGCAATTATGACAAAAACGTGTAGGCGAAATTTAAAACAACGAATATATTTACAGTATTTAGGGACACGCTCACTCGAATTATTAAAGAAAGAAAGAAATTACTACTTGTCCCGTGTTTGTTGCAATTGATGAAAATAGCTTTTATTTTGCAGCGAATTGCGGATCTTTAGGCAAAATAAAAATTTGCATCGTCCATTTAATGATACTGAAATTCGATAAAAATGTATTTCGTGTTTTAATGACGTTTATACATTGAAAGAAGTATTTTTAAATGCTTCACCCGTATACCCCGTTCTGCGCTTCGTTCATCTATTTTTGCGATAAAATTCGCAGCCTGCCCATAATAAGTCGCAGCTCTATTTCATAGCTGGATGCTGACTAGAGGGCATCGATAGTATGCGTCGATAATAATATTCTAACTGATCCTACGCTGCTCCGGATCGAGCTGATCACGACCTACGAAGCTTGATAATTACAGACGAGCGTCCAGCGAATGAACACGGGTATCATTAACACTTCCTGCCTCGTAACGACTCCTCGTCTGATACACGATATACGCTGTACCCCTGCGCGTCACTGCGTAAACCTGTCAACCTGCTTAATTGACATCGAACACCGACCGTACCGTTAACAAGCATTTAATCGAACCGATCTCGAACTATTCTCCGAAAACTCCTCGTTCCCGGGAATCGGTTGTAAAACCGTGTGCCGTATTCTTTCACGGTCTGGAATCGGGGCGAAGCTGAAGCGGAAAAAGGAGTAATCGAATTAAAATTAATCTGCGATAGGTATGTTCCAATTTGTCCGACTCCAGTGAAAATGGTATTGAATTCTTCTCTCGCGCCGGTTGCGGTTATTCCGTTAATGCCCGTTGCCCTGCGGCCTGGTTAATAGCGACCAATTTACCTGTCTCACCGAGGCAGAAACGAGTCCTATATAAATTCTCCGCCGATTACATCGGCGACGTTATTATGACAAAGTTGGCACAAATCAATTATACGCTACCTTCTGCTTTCTTGGCCACCTTCGTCTTAGAGAGGCCAAAGGCAAGCACCAGCTTCGAAACTATTCGAGCTATTTTGTATCTCTTCGCTAGAATGTATTTCGCAGATTACTTATGGTCACTTAGGACTTCGAAGATTGAAGGAAAAACTTGGAAACGAATGGTTACGCGCGTAGATAAGTCAAGCACTCGGAGTGTGAATGCAGTCGCATCGTAAACATAGCAATAGAAAGTACAAGTGGGAATGATGGCAAAGACACTGACAATATGACTGTGATTAGCGATAGCAATGAAACCGAAAATGAAGATTGCTGTTTGAGATGCTTGAGCGGATGTAATCGGGAGCGCATGAAAGGCATTTTTACTGCTTGATAAATATTCTTGTTTATTCGGGTTACCGATTTCGTGGAATGTAATACCACTGGACTGATTTCACCTTGTTCCTTCTCGTGAAACTGATTCAAAGATATTTAATTAAACCCTAGTACAGCGTGCAATAATAAACAACTTGCAGATGACGTAGATAACATTTTTATTTGAAATATTCGACAATACACTAAATAAAATAATAATTATTCATAGTGCCAACAAGCATTTTATTGAACCTTGTGCCAAATTGACACTTTGTTCGCTGATTTTAATACGTAAATATTAATATTAATAATTTATGTATTGTGCATGTACGTATTGTGCATTGTTTTACTAATTATGAATGACACGAATTTTATTATTATTATTATTTTATTATTATATTTAAATCCTAATATCAATGCTTGCTTCAATGTCAATACCCGACATTTTCTATGATATTTGAAAACATGGTTTGTTGTTAATTATCCAAGAAAGTGACGATCTATATCAATTGTGTTATTAATCAACAAGAACGTACACAAACTTTTAATCACAATTTCAAGTTTAGTGCAGGGACATTCAAGTACGGATATAAAGATTAAACTTATCTAGTTCTTCGCCTTCTTAACCACATCTAAATTCTTCGCTCTGAAACAAGCAATTTACTCTAAGTCGTTTATCTATCTTTATATCGTATTGATTTTTCACTATTATCTCAATCCGACAGAAAGACAAATCAAATCCGAAAAATCTAGGACGGACGATTGTTCACTTAGGAAATTCAATATTTATTAAGTAAATACAGGAGAACTATAGTAATCCGATTTACTATAGACAACTGAACGTATGGGTCTAAATTCTATTTTCGAAATTAATAGAATGTTATTATGTATGTCTGATAAACAATGTTCTATTAAAGAGCAACCAAATTTGAACGAGCTTTTAGGTTGAACCTAATTTACAACTTACAGACAACTAATACCATTAATATGATTAATATAATGACACTAAAAAGATACTTCTATCGGAAATCAATAAATATATTAATTCATTTGAATCAATATCAAAATTAAGTAAACAATCTAAGTAAATTCGATCTTGCAATAGTTGCAAATAGACTGGGAATTTTATGCGTCCATGACAGAAATGAGATCAAATGTAAAACAGTGAAAATGTTTAAAGAATTTGCAGACTTTGTCGCATTATTTTCCACTCATTAAAATTATTTAGAAAAGAACTAAATGCCTGAGTACCTCGCGTGTTCTGCAATCTGTGCAGATAATTTTGCATAAAAATCCTCGGTCTAGTCGCAAAGCGACACATCCCAGTCATTTTTAGCGCTCGACACGGTTAATGTTAATAGCACTGCGAGCACTTTCTTTTCTCAAAATTCACGGCGGCTCAACCTAGATGCCGGCCCAAACAAGGCTACCCTCCCCATGATCACAGAATAATAATAGAAAAGACAACACGAATTTTGCTAACAACATCGATCCGTCGTTTGGTTTCAGTAGCGGCTCCAGGTTTAAGCAGCGTGATGCACGGTAACGGTCTGATGTCGTTGCACGTGGAAGGTGGCACGCAGGTCCAGGTGCCTCGCTCGTTGATGCAGGCGTTCCTGCAGCAGGACCCGAACCATCCTGGTCTGGAGACGGTGCGGCTGCCGACACCACCGTGCGGTTCCGACGAGAGCGACCCTCCGCAGCACTGTCGCGAGGTGGAGACCGAATTGTGTCTGGTGTGTCGCCGATGCGGCCGGGCCTATCCGCAAGAGTCGACGCTGCTGACGCACCAGCGTTCCTGTTATCTAGGCAACCAACAGCGTCGCGGTGCACTGCGTCTGGTTCAGTCACGCTACAGCTGTTCCTTGTGCGACGGCAACACTCCGGCACGCACCTACACCACCGTGAGCGAATGGCGGCGTCACGCTGAAACGCTGCAGCACCGTGCCCGGCTGGAGGCCAACCAGGAACGGCAACAGCATCAGCAGCAGCATCAGCAACAGCAGCAGCAACAACAGTTCGGCAACATCAGCGGGCTCTCTGGCGCGCAGTGCGGCGAAGAAGTGCACCCGCTCACCGACGAAATGGAGGACGTCGTGAACCAAATCACCTTGCTGGCTGCTCGCGCGGCCGCGGAGAGCACGACCGGCCAATCTCAGGGTAACGAGAGAGCGAACCCGGACAACAACAACGCTCCCGACGTGAAGAGACAGAAACTTGTGCAGGAGGTGGCCGCTTTAGCCGGGGCCCGTTAAAGTGCTCGCCGACCTGCCGCGCGGACTGCTCAACGAACGCGCGAAACGCTTTGGGCTGAAGCTTTCGCGGAAGGGTGCGATGGAATATGTGTATGTGTGTGATAGGTCCTCGGGGATGCGACGCGTCTCGCCCCGAACCGCGACAACCCTTGTCTCGCGGCCGGGACGGGACCGAACGACGGTGAGACATGGCTGAACAGGGCCGAGAAAGTGTTCGATGGGTGCTCTGTGAGGGATAATTACTCGATAACGAAAACAACGTTCCTAACTGACTAGATAACGGGGAGAGGGTTCCAACCTAGGCATGATATTGTCGGTGAGAGGCTTTTTCTTCCGCTCCGGGCACACCAGGGAATCTCCGATACTCCGGGTACTCGCGCGTGGACGGTGGACCAATTACTCGAAGATGACCGCATGCGAACCCCCTCTTTGCTTTCATTTTTCATTTCCGTTGCGCACTGCCACTGTCGCGCACCGTCGGTTGTATTACCATTAATTTTTATCGTCAGACGACTGTAAACAGCGTGCCATCGAGCAGCGCGTACACCAAAGTTCCTTCGATTGAGAGAATTACGAGATTCGATTAACGGTTATGATTGGGGCTGGGTTGGGGGTGTGGGGTGGGGGGATGATGATGATGATGATGATGATGATGATGATGATGATGATGATGATGATGATAATGATA